CAACACGTCTCCTGTTACTCTTCTCATTGATTATTGGATTATTTTAATGGACTTTTGGAGCTTCTTGTTTGAAGGTTGTGGTGGCAATTTGTTTAATAACGCACACAAAGTATAATCTTGTCTTTCTATAAGGTTTTATTCAAGTCATCCATGAATGGTCTCAACGCAACCGTCACACACTCTCGTATGTAAAAGTCTGAAAAGCCCAGAAGAGAAGAAGCAGTTTAGTTTTATCTCTGTTGGAGCATCACTCTAATACAGTTACACATTCCTGAGAACTGGGCAGTCACCAGATGGTGTTATGACGATTGGTCTCATCAGGTCCTCGACTGCACAGTGAAGTGTCAACATTACACAGAGCACATGAAGAAACAGGACAAAGGGTTACATGCATTATAATAGATATGATATGACTCTTGAATAAATTCATATATGAATAACCAAGTCTCAAATAATAAAGTAGGTTCTTAAAAATTGCCTTTACAAGTCAATTTTCTCATTGATCTATTATTGGATTATGGACTTTTGGAGTTTCTTGTTTGAAGGTAAAGGGGGTCGAAGCTCTTCAGGGGTTGTTGTCGGAGTCCAGTTGGTCCAGTTCAGGTTCAGTTCTGCTGGAAGCTACAGCGAGCTCTGTTTCTCTGTGTAGTGTTTTTGGGTTTGTGTAAACTTAAAATAAAACATACAGCGGACGTTTAGAGTACTCCAGTACTTCAAAGAGACAGTTTAACTCGATGTGTAAGATTTATTTCCATCACACAGGATACAAGCAAACTGACTTGTCCCAGGATACAACTCACTTAAACAAAGGAAATTAATCCTTTATATGTCTTTTCCCCAAGAATGGGGCCTTTTTCCTAAGCAGGCCAGAAACCTGCTGACAAACGAAGATAAAGCAGCAAAGAGAACAGCTGAAGAACAGCTTTTTAGCCAACGACCCTTTGTCAGTGTGGAGAGGCCGCCTGCAGAACATCACCAGCTACAGGAGACCCCCACCCCCCACTGTGGAGGACCATCAACTGGCTGACGACCTGAACGTGTTTGACTGTAGATTTGAAAGCCCACATTCACACCCCTCATACAACAAACAACTACCTACACCCCCTAACACCCTGTCAACCCTCTGACTCCCTACCTGCACTTAGGATATGTGAAGGGGATGTGTGTCAGGTCTTTCAGAAACAGGAAAACCAGCTGTCCCCCATCTTCACACAGATCACTGTAGTTGTGTGCAGTTCCTTCCTGCTTCCAACGCTCCACCATCATCCCGGCTCCTAAAAAATTCTCCATCACAGGACTAAATGACTACAGGCTTTGAATATCTGTAGTCATGAAGTCCTTTGAAAGACGTGTGTTGGTCCACCTGAAGGACATTACAGTCCTCTTGCTGGACCCCCTGCAGTTTTCCTACAGAACAAACAGGTCAGTCAACATGGGACTGCACTACATCCTGTAACACCATGACTCTCCAGGGACATATGCGAGGATCCTGTTTGTGGACCTCAGCGTTCAACACCATCATTCAGTGATCCTGTGCCAGCCTCCACCTGTCAGTGGATTACATACTTCCTGACTGACAGGAGGCAGAAGGTGAGGTTGGGAACCATCACATCCAGCACCTGGACAATTAGCACTGGAGCCCCCCAGGGCTGTGTGCTCTCCCCACTGCTCGACTCCCTTTACACTAATGACTGCATCTCCAGAGACCCGTCTGTCAAACTCAACCATCGGCCTCATCTGAATCACTAAGATTAAACTAAATCTGAAGAAGCAGAAGAATTTTATCTTATAATTGTCTGTTCTGATCACAAGGCAAAACTTAATGTTTTTGAGTTCAAATATCAAGTAGATATTGATATGTGCTTGTTTGCAATTAAATCCATATATGTCTACCACTCTTTAATTTACAGCGTCCATACCAACCCATGAATATTTCAAAAGTCAGCCATCATTACTCTGATGAAGGTCAGAAAGAAAAAACTCAAACTAGAAGGATTATTCATTACAGTTGAATTCTTAAAATAGAAACCTACATTAGAAGATGAAAGATGGGATCTGCTGT